GTTCAGCAGAACACAGTGCCTACTGCTGCCTGGATTTCTATTTTGCCTTATCTCACTGAGTGCTGTGGACTCAGGAACAATCCTTATGGTTCTCTGTCTTGGAGAGTAGAGGGCATGTTGTCAAGCCCCATGATGGAAACACAGTGGTTCCACAGTGTGGTGCACACACTTTGCTCGAATAAAAGCTTCTTCACTGTCACCTGGTGGGAGGTAAATTTTCTGAAGTCTGCCTGGGCAGCAGAGCCCCTGACTTCCCGGAATACCCTGCAAAGGTTGCATGATGGGGCGGGATGACTGTGCAGTGGAGACAGGAGAGCTATTGTGGAGGTAGGTGGGTGCGTGAGTCATACAGCCGTGCAGACGCCACGTGGCCTGCAGTGGACATGTTCCGTGTTCCTGCCAGTACTGTATCCCTTTGTGTTAACTACAGTAAGACTCGTCTTTTTCACTCTCAGCTATAGTTGTTGATTCTCCCCTGGCAAGCCCAGCATCGGAGGCGGACATACACAATTTCACTAGAGCTCTAACTGGCCGTAAACTGTGTGAGTTTAGTCTTTAAACCTGATCAGTTCTGCTCTCAGCATCTTCCTCTAACTCATCTCCAGGTTGAGTTCCCCATCGTTTCCTCTGTGTCCCCACTGCATTTGTTACAGCAGGTGGTATTTTGTTGAATTGTCCATCTCTTTCACTCAGCAAGGTCCTATGGGGCAGAGGCAGTTTGTTTTAATCCACTTTGTTTAGGTTTAATCCTTTTTATGTCTCCAGCACCTAGCACAGTGCCCAACACAGAGCAAAAGCACAATAAATGTAGGCTGCATGTCTATATAAATGAAGGAATAAATTGATGAATGCATGAGGTCAGTGAAAATTCTTCCAAGAACAGTAGGTAAAAAATTTGACAGTTATGCTCATTTCAGTGTGTCATCCTGCAGATCAAATCAACTAGGGACCCCAATTCTACATGCTGCTCATTGCAAAATAGGCAGATTTGGGGTCTTCCGAAGTGTCTTTGCAGATTGACCCTCTTAGAGCAGCTGGGCAGTATTCGTGGTGGAGCTCTAGACCAAATTGAAAGATCTGGGTCTGCCCGGCTCTGCCCCTTTGTGGCTGAAGGACCTCAGACAGGTCAGCCTCGGAGCCTCAACTGCTCATCAGGAAAATGGGGCCATAATGGCAACAAGCCCTCCTGAGTGAAATAATGCTACTTGGCGAGCTCTCTGTGAGCCCGAAGCGATGTCCGACATCGAGGAAGGCTATCATCTCTCGCTGCAGCATCAACACCGCCCACCCGCCATCCTCACCCGGCCGTACCTGTCCAGAGCGTCCCTTGGCTCGCCTTGTCCTTCCTGCCCACAATAACAGCCGTAAGATTCAAATTCCTCCGGGCACCGGGATGTCAGACAAAAGAGCATCTCTCCAAGCTGTGGCATCACCCAAGTGTTGTCCCCGCTTCCCAGGTGCAGGAAGGTAAACCTGTCACAGGCTGATGAGAAACAAGGACTCTCTGTCTCTCTCTCTGGCCTCCTCCTCCTCTCCCCTCCTCAGCCTGCAGCTTGTGCTAAGCTAGGTGAAAGTCCAGTGTGCAAACTCCGTTGTCCTCAGTTCAGAGGGGGAAGAACCACGAAACCGGAGGCCTGCGCAGGGCTCCTCCCCAGCCCCCTTCTCGAGAGCCTTGCATGCGTGGAGGGCTTGCCCAGGCATGAGCAGAGTCCTCCTGTGTGTCCCACTGGCCGTGGCTGCTTGCCAGTGTGGGGCCTTTGCCAAGGCACCCGAGGGAGGACAGCCAAGGAGAACCATCCAAACCCAAGTGTTTGATTCTTTCCAGCAAACCACGCTGCGCATGACGCCAAGCTCTTTCCTTCAGGGCCAGTAAGAGCCACAAGAGCCCTTGGTCAGGGGTTCCTTTCCCCGGCTCGGCCTCCAGCCGCTGATGGCTGCAGGCTCATCTGCCCGCTCTGAGAATCGAAGTGCTCAAGCGGCAGGAGGGATGGCGCCTCCTAGTGGCACCAAGTGGGACAGTCACAGTACGATGCGGTAGCCGAAGGGGCTTGGTTAACGACTTCACCAGAGGATCCCGAGGCCGGGAGAGGACAGACATCTCTGCCTGCTTCTGCTCACCTTTTCCAGATGTCTCCTCAGGACCACTTCTGACGGATGACACAGCCAACCCCAGAGATTTAATGCCGGCAGGGACGATGGTTACACCTTTAGCTGTGGCAACAATCTCTGCAGACCCTGAAAACACATACCTTTATGGTCCGTATCAGAAAAGTGGTTCAAGAAGAGGTTTGCAGATGGACATGTAGTCAGGGCCAAATGCAGACAGAGCATCGGGAGAGTGTCTTCAAACTTGGTCTGCAGGCATCAGGGCAGAGCCTCAGGGATCCATGGACACTACGTGAGAATTTCCAAATTTCCTACGATAACATTAAAACTGACAGAACCCCAAGCTAGACCACCTGGATGACATCTCGTGGGCGAGAAAAGTCATAGCCTCTCAGGCCTATATTTGTGCTGTGTTTACCATCATGAGCCTGCCGAGCGAAGGTCCATGATGATGCTCACGGGTGATGAGATAAAAAGAATGGTGGAGAGATTAAGCCAACTCACGGTACTCAGTAATGCAAACTCCTCAAAGCACTGCATCAGCTTCTCCTCATACTCAGAATTAAGTGCAAGGTCCTCTCCATGGCCGTCAAGGCTGCCCATGATGTGGCTCTGCCTGCCCCAGGCAGGCTCCCTGGCACTGTCTGGATCTCCCTTTGCTCTCAGACCTCAGTCCCACCCCACAGGCCAGATCTCCAGCCCATTGTGGTCCAGACCAAGGGAGCATCAGTAGGCTCCGTGCCCACTCATCTGCTGACCCAGGCTCAGCTCCCAGAGCTCTGGGTAAGACCTGGGCCTCTGACTTGCAGTCCTTCCCCAAATCCACCATATTGGTTTGCTTTATACATCTGGGCTTCTGTCTCAGCTTGCTCAACACTGGTCCTGATGGGTTAGAAGCAGCCCTTTAGTAGTCCTGTTGTAACCTCAGTCTCCTAGGTTTAGTATCCTGCCCAGCTCTCCAACCCCACAAAAGTGAATCAGAGGGAACAGTGGAAAATAATGAGCTACCTTTATTTTCTATTAAAAATGGGTACAGGTTTTTTGTTTACTTGTTTTCAAATTATAGTAGGCACTATTGGCTCCTGGCATGTGCATATGAATGTAAATTGGTTCAATTTTTCTCCAGGGCAATTTGGCAACATATTGAGAGCCCTGAAATGATTATACCTTTTATCCAGCAATTCATCTTCTAGGCATTTATCAGAAGTGGATAGGCATAAAGAAAGTGCATATCTATTATTTATAATAACACATGTTGGAAATAATTGGTTAAGCAATTTATAGGATTCCATACAAGAAACCATTGCACAGCCTCTAAAAATCATGTTACAGAAAAATACTTCATGTCAGAGGAATATCTTCTCATTGTATGAAGTGATACAATGCAGACTGCAAAACCGTGGCTGCCAAGTGGTCTCAAATTCATTTTATTTATGTTCACAGATGTGCTCACTGTGGGTTGGGGCAGACTGGAAGAAAGCATCCTCAAATATTAAAAGTAGCTATTTTTATAATGTGGATTTAAATAGACAACTAAGTACAGTTCTCTATATTTTTCTAAATGCATCTCTTTAGCAGGTAGGTTTCAATATCTTCCTACTAATAGATCTATTTTCTAATTGCACTTGTCTAATTTTGGGCTGGGGGATATAAAAGTAAATTGGCTTCAACGATTTCTTTCATTCTGGGGAACACACTTGATTTCATAAATATATGGGGGACAACAATATATACAACATATACAAAGCTGAGCATGCTTACCTGGAGAAGGTGTGGCCCTTGCATCTTCTGTGTCTTCCTGGACTTGGCCTGGTTCTGTCCCTAGAAGAAGAGAGAGGGAGTAAGCATTAACTCCAGTCTGTCCCATCTTGGTCTCCAGAGGCAGCTCCCATCCCACTGAGCCCAGGAGGCAACGTGCTCCTTGCTCTGCCCCTGGTCGCCTCCCAGGAGAGCTGGTGAAGGGCAGGGTCCCTGCTGAGCTAAAAAAACCCCAGACTCAGGCTTGCTGATAAACACAGTCGCAACTTGTCATGCTAGAAGCAGGTGAGTCTGTTGAAATACTTTGAGAAAGCAGACTTCTCCAGAATTTGAATGAAAATAAATAAACATAAAAATTGCATTTTTTGAACAGAGGAGAATAAGGCAGCAGAACTGTGTGATTCCAGTTGCTTGTGGTGTGGCTCTAGGAAGGCTGCTAAGCCCTGGTTTCTTTGTGAAATGAATCTGTTGCTGTTTAACAGTCACTAAGCTTCTAGTATGCTATAGAATGAGTGTGTGTTCCCCCCCCCCACCCAGATTCATATATTGAAACCTAACCCCCAATAGGATGGCATTTGGAGATGAGACTTTGAGAGGTGATTAAGTCATGAGGGTAGATCCCTTGTGATGGGATTAGTGTCCTTATAAAAGGGACCCCAGAGAGCTCCCTCATCCCTTCTCCCATATGAGGACACAGTGAAAAGGTAGCCAGCCATCCATAACTAAGAAGTGGACTCTTACCAGAACTTGACGATGCTGGCATCTTGATCTTGGATTTCCAGAGCCATGAGAAATGAATGACTGTTGTTTATAAGCCACCCAGTCTATGGTACTTTGTTATAGCAGCCAGAATGAACTAAGACTTACTACATGCCATAGACAGCACTAAGTGTTTCGATTACATTAACTCAATAACAACCCCGTGAGTTAGTACTATGCTCACCCTCATTCACAAATGAGAAAGGGGACACACTTGCTCAAGGTCACGGAGCCAGGAAATGGTGACATGCAAACTTGGGCCACCTGGCTAAAGTTGACCCACTTAACCACTATGCTAAGCTACTATTTCCCTTCTGGCTGTACCCCAGAGAGCTAGAGGTGGGAACTCCAAAATGCTTTGGAAAGGAAGGAACTGCCTTAACTTCAATGTGCCAAAGACCAAGTTTATGATGATGTTATGTGAAAATCAGGCTTTGAAATTTCCTGATGTGGACACGAATGCTCAGCAAAGAGAGAGAATCTTGGCAGTTCTAAGCTGGGGCAGATGGTTCTCGTCAAAGGCAGAATGTACAGATTCAGAACTAAAGGAATACTAAGCTGTACTACCCTGGGGAAATGACCCCACCTCTCAGAGCTCCTCCTTTATCTGTAAAATGGGGATAACAACGGGCCTCTAGGGTGAAGGAGGATTAACCCAGAGAAGGCGCATAGGGGCCTAGGAACCCGCCGACACATCGGAGGTCCTCAACAGTGTCGCTGCGTATTAAGCAAGAAATCCATTTGTTTACTTAGTCACTCTTAGTAAACCATTATTATCAGTTACTTATTAATAAAGGAGCCATGGTTGTTAATGACCACAAGCAAAGTAAATATGTTAATTCTTCTGATGACATCTCGGTCTAGATACTTTTAAGTAGGAGGTTGTTCTCTGTGAATCACTATTGTATAACAGAAAGCCTGAATGAAGTCTGGGGTTAGAAACCAGTCTACAAGTCACTGCTGAATGACAGAGCTTTTAACCTCCCAGAGCCCCAGTTTCTGATATAATCTGCAAAAAGGGTCTAATAATATTTCCTCCAGGCCATGTCAAAAACTGGTCACCAGAACTGAACACAAATATTTAGATGGCATTTCTCCACTGGGTTTCTTGCTGTCCTCCTATGTAGTCCCCTCTGCTTACTTGTCCTGGAGAGAATGGTCAGTCGGGCAGCTCTGGTCTCATCCGCCACTGTGAAAAGAAACCTCCACATCTCAATTACCAACCCAACTCATCACCTTAGCTGAGCAGAGGAGAAATGGCCCATGGCAATCTGATCAGACTATGTCTGGATGTTGTTGCACCATTACTTCCCAATTCAGTGGACAAGAGGCCAGATAAGGGCCAGTCCTGTGTTTAAGCAAAGAGACCAGCAAATGACCTCTATGGGAGAAAGGGCCATTATTTCCCCTGGTTGGAATGGCTTTGTTGGGGAAGGCAGCTGAAGAGGGAGTTTAGGTCTAGAAGTAAGGATGGAGACAGTGGCGGCCTCAAACCTCAGCCCTACCACCCAGCTCTGGGCTTGGACAACTTCTCTCTCCATCTCAATTTACCATCTCAGTATAGAGGATACAGCAATTATTTCATAGGGTTGTATGATCATTAAATGAGATTATGTATTTTAAGCAAGTCATCCAGTATCCTGCATGTGATTTGACATTGTATGAGGTTTTTTATAGTCACACTAGAATTTTTGGAAGAAGATGCTGGCCCAGAATCTTCCCGTGCTCTGTCTCATTCTCTGGTCACCACAACGGACCGGGATAATCATCCCTTTCCAGGGATTGGTAAACTATGGCCCGGCCCTCAGCCTGTTTTTGTAAATAAAGTTTTATTGGCACCACAGCCACACCCATCCAGTTACAGATTGTCTATGGCTGCTTTTCTGCTGCAGTGGCAGAGTTGGGTAATTGTGACAGAGATCCTCTGGTCCACAAAGTCTAAAATATTTACTATCTGGCCCTTAACATAAAAAAATGCTGATACCTGCTTTATGCAAAGGGGAAATTAAAGCTTAAAGAGCTTAAACCACACTTCCCAAGTCACACTGATGAAAAACGGGAGAGCAGGGAATCCATCCCAAATCTGCCTGACTCCGGAACATAATTTCATCCCATAATGGTGAGAGAACAGCTACAAACCCCACACCTTTTCCTCACAAACTGTCCCACCTGCACCTGCATGATTGATTTTTGAGCCCGCATTCAGGCTGCCCCCTCCTCTGAGGGCATTTATGGTCACTGCCTAGGTCATGGATGTGAGGGGGTGAGTGCATTTGTGTTGGGGAGTGAAGATGAGCGTGTATCCCCTCACTTCCTCCCGTTAGACTCTAGACTCGTTGAGGAACCTTATTTACTTTTGAGTCTTTTCCAGGGTTGTGCCACAAAAGGATGATGGTTCAGGCTGAAGAAAGTGAAAAATGTACGAATTTGGGGTTATTTTGTGATTGTCTGGTGGGGCCATGAAGCCTGTAGCTTATCCTCAATTTAGAAGGGACATGGCCACTGCCAGTCATGCTGGGAATGGCTGCCGGTTGGAAGCAGGGCATATGGTGGAGCTTTGGTCTGGTGTTGGTGCCATTTCCTCTTTTCTCTGGACCCGGTCTCCAAGGCACGGGCTGTCCGGAAGCCGCTGGGGATGACATGCCTTTGGACATGGAGGATGGCTGGGGGTGAACACATGAGCCTGTGCTTTTAACCTGGCAGAAGCAGCAGCAGCAACAGCAGAGGAGAGCAATACACAAACCTGTAGGGCGGTGGGCGTGCAGCACGGTCTCCCTGAGGTGAAGAGTTGCCAGAGTTAGCAAATAAAAACCCAGGATGCCCAGTTCAATTTGGATTTCGCATGAACAAAAGATACATTTTTAGTAGAAAATCCTGGGACATGCAAATCCTGGGACATACTTATATTAGCAAAGTATGTGTTGTTGATCTGAAGTTCAATGTCAGATGGTCGAGGGCGGGGTCTGCGCTTTATCTGACAACTCTCCTAAGGTGGGACTAGGAGTGTGGGAGAAAGCTGAGCAAGTAGAGATTTGGCAGTCAAAAGGAAGTAGGAGGGGTTCTAGAATGTTCCTGAGGCAGTACCATTGTAAGCCCAGGCAAGGAGCATTTTAAGGGAGATAATCCCAGCAAGCAGGCAGCTGGCACAATCAAAACACGGCAGAAAGAGACTCACAGACTTTGAAAACAAACTTATGGTTACCAAAGGGGCAACGTGGAGGGGGGATAAATTAGGAGTTTGGGATTAACAAATACACACTGCTATATATAAAATAGATAACCAACAAGGACCTAGTGTAGAGCACAGGGACCTCTACTCAATATTCTGTAATAACCTACATGGGAAAAGAGTCTGAAAAAGAAGGGATAGATGTATATGTATAAATGAATCACTGCTGTACACCTGAAACTAACACAACATTGTAAATCGACTATACTCCAATAAAAAATAAAATTTAAAAAAAGAAAAGAAAGCTACCCTACAAAAAAAAAAAAACAACCCACGGATATTTGGGTTCCATACCGGTCCCCCTGTGTTCATCTTCTCCTGAGAGGGCCGTCAGGCTGGAGTCCATGGGCTCCACAGGAACCACTGCAAAAAGAGCCCCCAGGAGCAACGAGTGAGGGATGCAAGTGCCAAGCGTCCCCAAGGACAGGCTGGATGGCTGGATGAGGCAGGAGGATAAGGGGGCTGTAAGAGATGTTCCCAGAAGGGCTGCTTGTCCTGCCTTGGGATACCTCTGCCTCTCGCACACTGCCCAGGACACGGGTGCCCAGCAAGGCCCCCCCTCGGGAGGGACTCCAGCCAGGGCTGGGTTCTGGTGGGGAAGGCGACACCATTGGACACAGGCTGTGGCGATGAAAGGGCTGCAAACTCCGAAGGTTTTTGCCTATGGAGTGTGGTCCCAATTTGAGAAGACCTGTGTTCAAAGGGAAGGCAGATGGCAGAGAGAAAAGGGCGCTGACTCAGAACGTCCATAGAGGTACAACCCGCGCCCACACACGCAGCCATACACACACGTCAGCCTATACATGCCTATACACAAACCCACACGTGCACACACCCATACACACTCATAGGCACGGGCACACTGCATCCACGCACACACAGCCATATCGGCTTCCTCTTTAACAAACACTGCAGTGCTAATTCTGAGAAAGAGAGCCCGGCCCCAGGAAAGGAGGGATGGTTGGCAGAGGTGCACCTCGAACTTCCCATCCCCATGTACTCACAGTATTGGGACTGAAAGATCGTGGGAACTTTGGCAGACAAGGAATGATGGGCATAAACTTAACTCTCACTTTTTTCATAAGATGCATGTTTTAGAGTCAGAATCATCCCTTGCTTAGTTCGGTAGACAGTTATAAGGAGGCTACCCTGTCCTGAAAAGTGACACACGAGAAAACAGCTTCCCCTTCAAGGAGCCTCACCTGGATCCAGGCAGCTTCTTGTGCTGCAGGCTCTGGGGGGCAGAGGAGGGGGACAGCTGGTCTGTTCCCGGGAGGCCTCAGTGGCCAGGAGGGCCCCCAGCCAGGAGGGGCCTTGCCCCATCTGAGCACTGGACCCTGTCCTGCTTACAACTATAGGCCGAGAGAAAGAACCTGGAGTCTCCGTCCTAACTGGATTAAATTCACACCTGTCTACGTAGAAAGGGCCATTTGACTTTGGGTGTGAACTGAGTTTATCAGAAGTAATGGCGTCTCCGGCTGGGGGATGTGGGCACGTCTTCAGTGCCATGGGTCACTCCAGCTTCGGTGAGGCAGGCCGGGTGGAGGAGGTGTATCCACCCACTCCCATCAGTAGCCGGAGCCCTGTGGTCCAAACAAGAGCAGCTTCCCGAGAAGACCTTACCTCTGGGCAGAAGTGTCAGCGCCTCTTTCCTGCTGGTTGTCTCTGAAGAGAAAGCACATGAGAGAAGTGGTTCTGGAGAACGTTAGAAGGTGCTGGACTTGGCATCTGAAGAAACGCAGCAACGATTGGTCCCATACCAGCTCCCGCCGCAGATCGCCATCCCCACTGCTGATGCAGGGCCCGGATCTTCCTACCTGGAGGCTGAGCCAGACAGAAGGACGTGTCCAGAAGTTTCAGGGAAGAGTTGATACTGGACTGAGCCAAGCACTCTATGGCAGCCTTGTCACAGGTACACAGCAGGTGCTCACAAGCGTCCCCGGACTCTGTACACAGAGCAAGGGCAGAACAGACCGGAAGAGCTCACTGGGAATCCCAAGAGGTGAGGCAAACTCTAAAACTGACTCCCGCTCTGCCCCCAAAGCCCTGATTCTCTTGCGGTTTTCTTCATCTCATCCACGCCAGCTCCATGCCTTCTGCCGTGTGGGCCCAGCCCGGGAGCCATAGGCACTCCTTTTCCCCCGCACTTACACCCTACTGGCTACTTTCAACCTATTGGAGTCTGACGTGCGTCCCCATCTCCACTCCACCCTCGATCACCCCCTGCCTGGGTGATGTGAGTGACCTCACTGGCCCTCCCGCCTCCTGCTCGGCTGCCCAGCCTCTTCTCACTGAGGCGCCAGAACGGTCCTTTTCAAACCCAGGTCAAACTATACCTTTGTGTGTGTGTGTGTTCAGAACTTTGAGCAACTTCCGCTCTCAAAGTAAAAGCCACTGGCCCCTGTTCCTTCTCAGACCTCACCTTCTTGCACTCCTCCCCCGTCTCCCCACTTCTGACCCACTGTCCCCCTTGTTTCTGAAACACCAGGCACCTGGAGCCTGGGGTCCACCACAGCTGCTTCCTCTCTCTGTGCTTCTTCTGAGTAGCCACAGGCTGGCATCCCTTCTCTCAGTCTTTGCTCAACTGTCACCTTCCCAAGGAGGCTTCTCTTGACTTTCTTATTTAAATAGGAACCCACACCCCAGCTCTCCCTATGCCTTTCCTCTGACTTATTTTCTTCCGCAGATCTTAGCATTATCTAACATACCGTATGATTTGTTTCTGACGTTTTCGGTGTCTGACAACCAAGAGGAAATTCCAGAAGGTCAGGGTACCCCCAACACGTAGGCGATTGTCTTACACTTGGTGTAGGTGCTCAGCATGCTTGAGTTGAGCGAGTGAATGAATGAGTCATGTTTCTTCGTGTTCACTGTGTTCCTCACCTTGTAACTTACACCCTTCCTGATTCTCTGAACTCCAGCCAGTCCATGTGACCTGGACTGTGGGACCAGTCAAAACTGGGTTCAAACTCTGCCTTAGCCACTTAGCAGCTATGTGACTTTGGGCAAGTTATTTAATTTCTCTGAGCTTTCCTCACCTTGTCTGAAAACTGGGGATAATGACCCCCATCTTATAGGGTTGTTAGGACAATCAGAGTTGCTGTGTATAACATCCGTGGCACATAACAGGCACTCAGAGAGGGTGCCCTAATATACTACCCCGGCTTGCCATGGTCCTCTTCCCTCAATGCCTTTGCCTATTCTACTTTTTCTGCCGGGATTGTCCAGAGACATGAAATAAAATTCCTGGAGTCACCCAGCTAGTTAACGTGGAGAGCTGAGATTTGACCCGACGTGTGTGCCTGATTCCTACAACCACACCAGCCTTATTCATTCCTCGTGGACTCAACTTCTGTCACTGAGTTCTCAACAGATACCAGTCACCATATTAACTGTTTTACACTTAACATTGTTTACGTTTTAAAAATGTAACATTGTTTTGCATGTAAGCATTACTTAATTTTTATAAGAAATCTCTGAAGCAGGCTTTCTCCTCCCTATTTTGAGGTTCCCAGTTGTTAAGTAGAAGGTCAGGGTATTCCCCCTAAATCACAATGCATAAGTAGTAAGCTATTTGCTCTTCTCAAGCGCCCAGGGTTGGTACAAGCATAAAATTGTAGATCATATAATCTGCTGAGCATCTATTGTTTCAATTCAAAAAGAATTTGTTGTGCCTCTACTCCATGCAAGGTACAGATGCCATAGATCTGGCCCTTGTAGGGCTCCAAGTATACACAGTGATGTTGCCAATGGTGATGATGATGAGGGTGGACCCTAGGAGCCCGGGCCTGGGATCTCTGAACTGTCATTTCTCAGCCCAGCCTCCTGGGACACCTGGAGATGCTCACCACAGGTGATACTCTTGCTGACACAGTTGACATCTGTGCTAAGCTTGGCGGGGTCTTGCAGACAGTCGATCTCAGCAGCCTGCTCGTAACACCTGCGATGCTGGAAGCAACAGCTGTGGCACGATGGGGAAGGGTCAGGGTGAGAGTGTGGGTTAGGGTCAGAAGAGGGGCAGGCAGCACATGATCATTCTGTGTCTCTGGTTGGTTTCTGGCAGTGGCCTGTTCCAAATACTTAGTGTATACACACACACCCACACACACACACCTGCCCACACACGATATTTGAATTTGAATTGTATTACCTATGCAGCAGTTGCTATTATTCTTATGAGCATTTACATATGTGAAAAGTGAGACACATAAAGCTCTGTAACTTGCCAAGGTCAGGGTTGATCACAGAGAGCGGCTGACACTAAACAAGGGAGTAAGGTGGCTCTTGCAGTGCATGCAGCAAGCAGTGAAAACCAGTGTAAAGGAGAAGACATACAGGCAGCTGTATGGGCAAAGCTACTAAGTTTCTCATTACCTAACTCGTAAGAATTTGGGGGAGTCAAGAGAATGTCTATAAAGACCCTGTCATGTGGTTGACACTCAGTAAACTATGGCAATTGTTTTTGGAATCTGGCGTGCAAGTTCGAGGTGGAAATAATCTATCCTCCAGGAGTCTGGAAATTCCCACCTCCATCACCTGCAATGTGTAAAGTAATTGAAATTGGGTAGGCCCACCATTCTGCCAGTTCTGGCCATCAATGCTTTGATCATTCAGACAGGGATGAATTACTGCTTCATTTCTTTGACTTCTAGGTTTGTGGGTGTTTTAATAACTAAAGGAAATGGTAAGGGAGGACCTGAAAGGAAAATACATTCCCAGAAATGGTTCTGGCACTGTGCCCCGAACAGAATCAGCCTCCCCCTTTCTGAATGTCAACGGGCTGGCTTATGGTCCCAGAAATGACAAACTGCCCTTTTGGTGCAGAAACAACTTACACCAATGGGAATCCTTCCCTATCTCCTGGGTGTCTGCGTAGATGAAAGCACACACTTTATCACACTGGATTTGGGCACAAATATAATACCAGTGAGGTGTAGACATGGTCCTGGAGTAGGGGTGAGATGTGGGTTCAATTTCCTGGTTCCACACTCCTGTTGCTGCTGCAGTTACTATAGCTCCAATTACCGCTATTGCGACTACTACTACTGCTACTGCTACTACTGCCAACACCACGTTACAGTTTTATTAGTACTGATGCTATTAATACTATTATTACTATGACTATTACTACAGCTACTGTGACAACTATTCTCCTACTACTGTTACTACTACTACTAACAGCACCACCACCACCACCAGTTTACTAGTACTGCTGCTGCTGCTTTTACTACTGTTATTACCACTATTACTATTAATACTACTATAGCTACCTAGACGATTGTTACTACTAATGTTGTTACTATTACTACTACTATTACAGCCTGACTGTGACTCCCACAATACTATTACTACTATCACTACTACTACTACAGCCCTACTAATATTGTTATCAATTGCAAATACTCTTGAAGACCTAATAAGCCTGGCAAATCCCAATCACTTTAACTTGTATTTACTCATGTAATCCTAAACAATAACTCTATGAGGTAGGTGTTATTTTTACCGCCATTTAGTAGATGAATAAATGGAACACAAAGAAGTAAAAGAACGTGCCTAACATCACAGAGTCCCTTAGGAACAGAGAATTGGAGTTACTGGGTTATAGGTGATATGCATAAAACTCTAACAGATACCACCACCTTGTCCTAATTGACTCTCCTGCTACCAGTAGCTATTTGCCATATCCTTGCTAACCCCGGATGCTTCTAAGATTTTAAATTTTATTGCACACACCCACATACACCTGCACACACAAACGAAGCCAAGGGAGTTTTCCGCATCTGTGCTCTGCCCAAGCCTCAGCCGGGCCTCCACGAGCTCACGTTTTGGTCGTGCTCACCTGTCAGACTCGTCCACAGGCAGCCCTTCCATCTCAAACCTGCAGGCACAGCCGTAGTCTTCGAAGTCCCGGGGGCAGAGACCAGCCACACACTTCATACCATTCACGAACTGGAGCAGTGCGGGGAAGTTGGTGAAGACATCCTGCAGCCAGGTGAAGTGGGAGCCCAGGCAGTCTGGGGGAGGGGAGGAGGGCGCACCAGGAGCCAGAGTTGAGGAGGGAGCCCCTTCTCGGGTGGATGGTGCCTTATCACCTACTAAGCACCTACTGTGTACTTAGGGCAATTCTAGACAATTGAAGGGAAGCAGTTCACTAGCCGTGGCCCTGCTGGTTGCCCACCTGACAGCCATTCATCCCTCTTCCTTACCCACAAAACTGAAAAGCACTCGAGGAAAGTAACCTCCTCCCCAAGCCCCTGGGAATGTTTAATAGTCATTCTCAGCTCATCATGGTAATCACACGCTTCCAAGACAAGGGCTAGTCTAGGGCTGAGCATGAAACCCAGATATGACCCCAAAGCCCTAAGGGTGAGACTGTTAGAAGCTTTTGGGAAACATTTCTTTCTTAATAAAGCATAAAGGCATGTAAGAGGGTCCTTCTGAGCTATACCTTTCTCCTTCCTTGAATATGGGGAGGATATGTTGGCTGGAATTGCAGCAACCACCTTGCAGCCATGAGGCCCCAAGCCTAAAGCTGAAAAACTGTTATGTCCAGGGTAGCAGTGGGGTAATATAGAACAAACGTGCTGGGTCTCTGATACCTGTGCTGAGCTACTGCACCAATGCTGGTGCCTTCAGATGGCTTATGTGAGATCATTAAATGTCTTCATTATTTAAGTCACTATTAGTTTGCTGAATGGATCCCTAATGATACAGTCCTAGCAATAAAGAAGTATAAATCAGTGCAGGAAGAGAAGGGATACAGACACTCATAATTTGCGGGCACCTCCTATGTGCCATAAACTGTGTCAAGTGCTTTATTTTATTTTATTTTATTTTTATTTTTAACATCTTTATTGAAGTATAATTGCTTTACAATGGTGTGTTAGTGCTTTAAATAACACAATAGTTAAAACTGATCGAGTGAGTAATGCTTTATAAAGCTTTCATTTGGTCTATGATCCCATAAACTTCTTGGGTCTTTTGTTTGTTTGTTTGTTTGCTTTGCTCTGCTTTTTTTTTTGGCAGCACCATGGGGCATGCCAGATCTTAGTTCCCTGACCAGGGATTGAACTCGCGCCCTTGGCAGTGAAGGCTCGGAGTCCTAACCACTGGACCACCAGGGAATTGCCCCCCATAAACTTCTTGTTAATCCTGTAAGGCAGATGCCATTCTGTCACCTCCCTTTCATGGGTAAAGAAATACCCATGTCAGAGGCATGCCCGAGGTATCCACCAGCAACAATGACTTACCCTAAACAGAAATGCTCTTGCAAACAAAATTGGCAAGAAAACAGTATCCACCTTTTTGACTTTACAACTCATGGTCGCCCTCTCTGCTCTCTGCCTTTCTGATTGAATGATCGTCAGGTACTTAATGAGGTGACCCCATAGCACCGATTTAAAAACACAGGGTCATCGTGGGGAGCTTGGGGAGATCCAAAGTTGTTTGTGAGGACCACGTCCACCTCGACTGTTCACGGCTCTTCTAGTTTCTTCCTACCTCATCATTCAAACTTCCCTTCCCGCCTTCTGTTTCCACACAGCCTTATCAGAAACATGAATACATGGTTCTACGCTGATGGAAAAAGCCACCCTAAGGTTTATGTGTATGTGTATGTGTTTATAGAAACATGCATTTTCATTCAAGAGCTTCCAGGGCACCTGCACTTAGTCATACATACATTTTAAGTGCAGTTTTACGCGCAGCATTGTCTAATCCCATAGCAGTTCGGAGTCACCTTGCTCATGTCCATCTTACTATAATCTTATTTTGGGTACTTTTAGTCATCAGTGATGGGAATCATAGTAATGCCGTGCGATTAACAGTCAAATAATAGATATATAACTGATCAGTGGAATGCTTCTTAAACTTTATGTATATTCAGTAGTTGAGAAGGAAAAATAAAACCACTTTTGTGGAAGGGGACCAAGCTCTGGACTCAGAGGAGGCCTTGTCCCTTCTGGCTGTGTGGCTTTGGGCAAGTTCCTAACTCCTTTGGCTCGGTTTTCTTGCCTGTAAAGTAGGGATGCCATTCCCCTCCTGGCCAGGTTGAGGTCAGGATGAATGAAGGAAGGACAACGAAGCCACCTGGCAACTCAGTGACTCACCGTGCGCTAAAGGGCACCACTACTCTCATCAGGACCTGGGTCACACTGTTGGGAGCTTGCTGACGAGGCTGTGGGAGCTCAGAGGGCAGAGCCCAAGGCCCTGGTAATTTGCTTAGATTTCCCACACACACCCCACGCCCTGACACCTGGGGGAATAAAAGCAAGTTCAGATTAAACTTACCAAAAATTTCTGCCACTCCTTCCACAGTTTTAAACACCCCATTGAGGAAAGTCATATCTAAGTGGAAGGAAGAGAAAATAAATTAGGCTTGAGGTCTACCCCTTTCCCTTCCCTGTCCACCCGCTGTGGGAAGAGTGAGTAAAACCCCTTCTCTAAAGATAGATTTGACCTTGGGCTAACTTTCTAGTAACACAGGTTACCATGGAAACCTGATAAGATAAAAACCGTGAACTGTGTTGCTAGGCAACAATGCTCAATGGTTAAAAAAAAAAAAAGGCCCGTGGATGGTGAGGTGTATCGGATGAACTACAAACACCTGGTGGAAAGTCGTCATTTTTGGGTCTCCATCAGCGTGACGACTCATTCAGTTGGGCACGTCCATTCTGGCATCCTAGAAATTACACCTATGCGGTGGTTACTAGGGGTACTGACTCCTATGGAGAGTGAAGCTTCTAGGCCAGGGCGGGTCCTGGGGCTCCTGCACCTGAGCCCCGTTCCCTTGTACCTGAGTTGTTACCTAGGGGCTCCTGGACTACTGTGTAGGTTGCTGCCAGGGCTCCTCTTGATAAAGAAGAATGTCTGGCATGGCCTGCTGGCACACAGTGCTTCCTGGCCCTGATCCTTCTAAAAGCCAAGTGTGGCCTGTGAGTCTAAATATCTACCTGAAGACCTCCTAGTGGGCATTGCACTTCCCATGGGGGTGATGCCATTTGGAGAGAGGCCACTAACATTTGTGTCTGGATGGGACTGATCACTTAGCTTGCGTGGGCTCCTGCACAAATAGTTCGGCTGACTCAGCTCACCTCTCTGCAAGGTCAGAAACAAACCCTTAACTCAGGGTTAACCTCACCAGCTAGTTCACGATGTATTGTATTCTTCAGTGATGCCTGTATAAGAACCCACCTGAGAAATATTTACAATCCATCACCAGGGAAACCTTCCGTTCCCCAAGGAACAATTACAGATCCCTCCCTTCTAATAACCAGAGGACTGCAATACATCATATTTTCCTTTTCGTCCCGCCTTTTAATGCAGTCACTACATAACCCTCATTCATCAGCCCATTTACTTCCCTCTTCTAGTCTCCCCTTTCAGCTGACCTGTGTCTTTGATGAGAGTTTTTAGTGCTTTATCTCAAAGGAGAGACCAACAGTGGGTCAGACACCAGAGTAAACTGTGAGAGAGAGGCTTTTGAGTCTTATTCAAATCACTTTACCTACAAATGCCACAGCAGTAAATGGCTCTAGGGTTTATTCAGAAGGGATCGATTTCTCTGCCGATATCCTAGACAGCTTTCTACCCAGCTATGTCTCCTAAGAAAAGATCAAAGGATGCTTACTGATATTTTCTGAGAGTCCTGGAGGCAGCTCCCATGGAAGATGTGGGGTGTCCAGAGGGTGGGCCACTGTAATGAGGAGAGCAGAGTTAGCACCAGCACTGCCGCTGCCCAAGTGCTGGGTTACAGCGGGAAGTGGTGGCCGGGATAGCAATGAGGATGCCCATAAATTCAATTCTAGACATATTTTTCTAGTACCTTCTATGTGCCAGGTCTCTGTGGTCACCTCTTGAAGAAAATAAAGGAGTGGCTGGGTAACCCAGTGTTTTATATTAGTTGGCCTTAAGGGAGTGACTTTCTGGTTTAGGATGGGGAGATTTGGGGACTTATCTTGAAGCTGTTGTTGCATATGAAGCATACAATTTTAACTTATATGGCATGTTTGTTTGGAGTTACTTGAGATGAAGGATTGGTGGAAATAAAAACAGGCATGGAAAGGACCCCAAACTCCAAGTAGTTTATAACTGAGGACAGGGGTTTCCCCCAGGCTATCAGCATCAAACTCACCTGGGATGCAGGCTCAGTAAAAGGTACCATCCTTGTGCCCTCACTCAAGTCTGATCCAGCAGGTCTAGAGTAAGGCTCAGAAATAGATATTTTTAACAAGCTCCCCAGCTGGTTTTAAAGTTGATGGCCTAGAAACTGCACTTTGAGAAATGTTGCTTGGGGGAAAATGATGATTTCTACAGTACCCGAATATTACTACCAACTTCGGTTAGTGTTTCATCAAGGTGGGAGGATGGGCAATGGGGACAAATGGATGGGAATTGGAATCTTAGTTCAACCAGGGACCAGCTCCCTAGAGGCTCAGAGGGCTTACAGACTTGTCCACGCTCACATTGCTTTCCCCCCTGGTTATATGCAGCATGTGAGTAGCCTGAAATGTTGAAAGATTTTTGTCTTTCTTCACTAAGTGGTCAACTTAGTCAGGCCCATAAGTTTGACATTGTTTGGAAACCTGCAAATCTGAAAGCCACAAAGGGTTGGCCTTCAAAGAAGCATGTTAGATTAAATTTATTCAGGAAGATGCCCCCAGTTGGCCCTGTTTGGCTTAGAGCAGGTTTCACGGCCTAAGACTATTGATATTTGGGCTGGATAATTTTCTGTTGTGGCTGTCTTGTGCGTTTTGTACCCCTGGTTGATATCTGGGGGACTGCAGTGAGCTGGGACAGCTAGGATCAATCCCTCTTGGATGCCACACTCCAACCATCCTGAATTGCTCTCAGTTCCATGAGTGTGCCCTGACCCCTGGGCCTTTGCACAGGCCATGTCCTCTGCTGGAGTACTTTGTCCATGACTCAGCCTGGCTCAGCTACTCACCATTTAAGCTTAGTTTTAACAATGCCATGTGGAAGTCTTTCCTCTCTCCCTCCCTCCATGTTGGAAGCCTCTGGCTAGTTGCCTGCCCTCTGAGCTCTCATGCCCACTCCCACCTTCTGGTGACCTCTACCATGGTACTATTCATGCTGATTCTCAGGGTCTCCTTACTTGTGGATCTCTGGCATTAGACTTTGAACACCTGAGGGCAGGAACCTCATCATAGTTCCAAAGCCTAGCACCTCATTTGGCGTACTGTTTGCTGAGTGGATTAAAGGAGACCATAAAGAATGACTTGGAAGGGCTGAGATGGGAGGCCTAGAGCCCAGGAAGGTTTAGACTGACTGTACTTGTCCAGGACAGAGAAAACAGGGGTCTTTCTTAAGACTCAAGACTGCAAACCCAAATCTCTCCAGGGGTCAGGCAGATGATTTAAACAAGAGAAGTGGTCCAGTGCTGGGAAACAATAAGGATTGGTGGAGACTGTGGAGAACTTGAGAGCCCCAGGTCACAGTGCGAGGGACAGCTGTCACTCAGCCCCAGGCCTTGGGGAAGGAATCCCACAATCCAGATCTTAAAAAAATTGTTGGAAGTCTGAATTTTTTGAAAAATCTTCCCATTTTAAACTCTTGGCTCAAATTTTAAATTAAAACAGCAACAAAAGCAGGTTGCGGGCTGATTTTAGTTTGAGGGTGAAGGGAAGATACTTTGGGTGTGTGCAGAGGGGCTTGGTGGGGTCAGTACTCCACCTAGGCCAGCCAGGCAGGGCTTGAGCTGACGTACACGGCTCAGCTTTTGGTTCCAACCACGGCTCCTCTCTGCCAGGTTCTCGGAATGGTTCCCAGGGAGAGGAGTTCCCTCCTGACTGAGCGCCATGGGCTGTACGGCGACAGTGCTCTGCACAATGCAGGCTTTCAGACCAGGAGGGAGACTCACAACTTCAGTTCTGTTCGCGCCCTTATCACAGAGCCCATGTAACTGCTCTGGCACTTTCTACATTAGGCACAACTGCCTCAGGAACTGTCTAATTAGCATACCAGCCAACAGCTAAGAATATTTACTGCCCACTTAAGCAGAGATTGTAAAATATGGCCTGCTGGGCTTCCCTGGTGGCGCAGTGGTTGAGAGTCCGCCTGCTGATGCAGGAGACATGGGTTCGTGCCCCGGTCCGGGAAGATCCCACATGCCGCGGAGCGGCTGGGCGCGTGAGCCATGGCCGCTGAGCCTGCATGTCCGGAGCCTGTGCTCCACAACGGGAGAGGCCACAACAGTGAGAGGCCCATGTATCGCAAAA